GAGTTGTGGCCAAAGTGCAGGACCCAGCAACTGGTCTTGTTGAACCTCATCCCATTAGCCTCAGCCCAGCTATCCAGCCTGTCCAGATCCCTCTGTAAGGCCTTGCTACCCCCAGGCAGATCAACGCTTCCTGGCAACTTGGTTGCTCCTGGGGAACAACGCTTGTGACCATGTGCCAGCTGGATTTAACTCCATTCATCACCACTTCCTGGGCCCAGCCATCCTGCCAGGTTTTCAGCCAGTGAAAAGTGCTCCAGTTCAAGCCATGGGCTGCCAACTTCTCCAGGAGAGTGCTGTGGGAAATAGCATTGGAGGCTTTGCTGAAGTCTAGGTAGGCCACATTTACAGCCTTTTCCTCCGCTACTAGGTGGGCCACCTGGTCATAGAAGAATTAGGCCAGATGTTAGGAGGAAGTTATTTACTCTGTGGTAGTGAGGCACTGGAACAGGCTGCCGAGATAAACTGTGGATGCTGCATTCCTGGAAGTGTGGCCTCGCCTTGAGCAATGTGTGCTGGTTTGGGTGCCACAATATTAGAGGAACATAAAAGTATTTGAAAGCATCCTGAGGAGAGTTGTAAAGGTGGGGAAGGGTCTGGAGAGCAAGCCATGTGAGAAATGGCTGATATCTCTTGGTTTGTTCAGCCTGTACTCCCTGCAGAATCCTCAACATCTGGCAATATCCATTGCCAGCAGCAGCGCTTACATGGATTGATGGAGTGATGACAGAATTGGAAAAAAGAGCCATGGCTAAAAGGACTCATTTGCCTTACCATTCAGCTGTGTGGCCAGTGAAAGACTAACTAGATAATGGTGTTTCACAGTAGAATATCAACAGTCGGATGCTAAAACTGCACCTTTAACTGCCTCAGTTGCAAACATTGGAGTGGTAGTGACACTGATACAGGGAGCTCATTGTATTGTCCTCATTGTCCTCATTGGCTGCCTTAGAGGTTAATAAGTTTCTCACTATTTCTCTCCTTGAGCAGGATAAGTTTGCTTGTATCTGGAGGAAGACCAAGTATACATTTAAGAGGCTTCAACGGGGATGTAAACATTCTCTAATACTCATAATGCTTTGGCTAAGTTTTTAGCAGAGATTCCTGTTCCACCTGACCATACCATATATCAGTATACTGAATAACATTCTGACAGGGGGAAAGAGCTGAGAAAGTGTAAAAGACACAAAGGAAGACATTCAGAGAATACTAATCAAATTAGATTGGAAATTCCAGACTCAAAATGCCAGGGACCAGCACAGGAGGTTGAATTCCTGGGAGACTGGTGAATTAAAGGGACTGCTGTTGCTTCCCAGGACACCCTAGAGAAAATAGAAAAGGTGAAAGTCCATCTAGTGTAAAAGACTTACAGTTGTTCTGGGGAGCATCAGGCTACTGGTGCAAACATATTCTTGGCTTCACCATTATTTCACATCCCTTGTATAGTTTGCTCAGAAATGGAAAATCATGGGAATGGACTGAACAGCATACAAATGTATTAGAATTGTTAATAAAAGAAAGAAGGCTATTCCATCAGCTTGGCCCTATAAAGCTGACTGACCCTATCCACGTTCGATGGGTGTTTAGTGAACATGCTTCCACTGCAACCTATGGCAAAAGGGGCCAGAAGGGCTGAAAAGACCATCAAATTAGCACTTGGTGGATTTCACCTTGTTTTTAATACAACTGAGCAGGTTTTCTTTCCTTTTGTGTTCAAAGGAGTCCCAAATGACCCACACATAGACGGAGAGACCTAGGTCTAAGGATGACCCACCAGGCTGAATTAATCATACTACGTTTTACCCCAACCCTAATACAATCCCCTTTGATTTGTGGCCAGAAAGACCCTGAATGGCCATGGTCACAAGCTAATGTGAGGGTCATACTCCACCAAGGAAAATTTAAACTTGGCTACTGTGATTATGCATGGAGTCAAATTGCATTCCAAACATATGTGGGACTGGCATAGAGAGACATGTCTTCTGTAGATTATTCAGTGAATCTACACATGATAAGGTCACACAAAGTGTAACATCCGTGGTATCTGTGTCTTAGGAATGATGAAGTGTTGTGCCACCAGAAGGTGGCATTGTTGGTATAACTTTACTCTGCTGGAACTCACTTTTGTGACTTGCCTTTGGCAACAATGGCAAAGGGAAATAGGGCTTATGTTTAATTTTTAGTTGCATTGGCCAAAGCACAAGACCTTTATGCTGCAGAAATACACTGCAAGTGTTGGAACATCCCAAAGCCTATTTTAGACCTAAATCTGTCTACTTTAGCTTTCCATGGGAATGAAATCTGCTTAAAGGGTTGGAGACACTCTCTTTGGATGTCTAGGCTCCATGTCATCCCAGGGAAGAAAATACAGATTGGCTACTGGGTAATTAACATGTCTGCTTACCAAAGGCCCACCAGAGGTTGAGTGGTATACATTGCTACTTTCAAACCAGAAAACTGCAAAAATTGTTATAAAATTACAGAACAAAATTTAGATTGCTGGGATAATTTCACTTTTACCAAACCTACAACTGCGTGTTGTATTTGAGGCCTTCCCCTTCCTCTTCCCATTCCCTTTTCCTTTCCCTTTCCACTTCCCCTCTCCTCCCCATCCTTTTTCCCTTCCCCTTCCCCTTCCCCTTCCCCTTCCCCTTCCCCTTCCCCTTCCTCTTCCTCTTCCTCTTCCTCTTCCTCTTCCTCTTCTTCCTATTCTTCTTCCTATATTCTTCTTCTTATTCTTCCTATATTCTTCTTCCTATTCTTCTTTTTCTTCTTCCTCCTATATTCTTCTTACTATTCTTCTTCCTATTCATCTTCTTGCTTTTCTTCTTCCTATTCTTTTTCCTATTCTTCTTGCTTTTCTTTTTCTTCTTTTTATCAGGGCATGTTTCCTGGTGGCTTTGTTGTTTTCAGTGTGTTAAATGAGCACAAAGCACAGCCCGTCCCCTACCAAAGCAGCATGCAACAAATGCAAAACCAGAGGAAGGGTGCCCATGTTCTGTGATCTCCAAAACTGGAATAACCCAGTATCTCCCCGTGTCCATCCAGCACATCCTCTTTCTTGGCCATCATCTTTCATCCCTTCCATCACCCCACACAACCATTGACCAAATGCCACACTATTACTGGAGAGTAAACAGATGAGAATAACTAGTTTTCAAAGCCTTTATCCCACTACAAGAACTGCATACTGTCATAAAACCTGCATCCCTTTACAAGATCTGCATTTCACTATGCAGCATTCCTCTCCTCTTAAATTATTCCCCATCACTTCCAATGCAATTTCCCCTCAAGCAGATCATTTGCATGTGCATCACTCAAACCCATTTCTTTCCACTTAGAATGATCCCTGCCTCTGGTGGTGGCTGCTGTATTTTACAAGAAGAATGTTATCAAAGGTAGACAACATAGATTCACCAAGGGGAAAACATGCTTTATCAGTCTGGTATCCTTCTCCAGTGCCATCACTGGCTGGGTAGATGAGGGGAGAGCAGTGGATGTTGTGTACCATGACTTCAGCAAGGCTTTTGACACTGCCTCCCACAACATCCTTGTAATGAACCTTAGGAAGTGTGGACTAGATGAGTGGACAGTGAGGTGGGCTGAGAACTGGCTGAGTAGCAGAGCTCAGAGGACTGTGATCAGTGGCACCGAGTCTGGTTGGAGGTCTGAAGCTCGCACTGTTCCCCAGGGGCCAGTTCTGGGTCCGATCTTGTTCAACATCTTAATCAGTGACCTGGATGAAGGGATAGAGCCCACCCTCAGCAAATTTACTGATGACACAAAGCTGGGAGGAGTGGCTGACCCACCTGAAGGCTTCATTAGCTGGGGGTTAGACTACATGATCTCCAGAGGTTTTTTTCAACCTCTACAATTCTCTGATTTTCTGTGACATAGCTCTACAGATTATCTGCATGAAAATGCAAGAGGCCTCAATTTGAGAGTTTGGAATCTTGAGAATTAATAGAACAAGCAGATGAAGCCAAAATATTCTGTAGAACTGGATTGTCTCCCCAGAAATCAAACAGAACTCTAAGCAAGGAAAGAGTTAACTAGCTTGTCTAGCCTGTCTAACAGAAGACAGGTCTTATAAGATGTTTCTCTAATTTAAAGCACATTTTTTTTCCTTGAATAATGAGCGCCCTCTTCAGGAATGCATTGCATGAAATTGTCATGCACAAACAGGAAGCTGCATTAAAAAAAAATAAATAAAGTAATGCACAAGCATGTGAAAGTCTGTGAGCTTCAGAGATTGGTTGGTCTGTTGTTGGCACAAGGAGCCATGGGGCAGGTGCTTGATCCCAAAGAAATAGGGGAAATGCAAAAAGGTACAAAACAAAACCAATGTCTTGTGCATGGGAAACTGAAGTAAAGTAGTTACAGCAAATTTTAATTTAATTTCTTTATACCTTGGTAAGTATGAAGAAATCATATCTTGTTAAGACTGTGGACTCCATTTTTCATAAAACAAAGACCAAAAACTGAATTTGGAGTCTGAGATTTGCTGGCAGGAAGAAACTCAATTTCTATTCCAGAGATTGAATCCTAAAAAGAACCCAAAGCCGGTATCAACCTGAAAATCTACTATTTTCAACCTGTCCCTTATGATACATGGTTGAAGGCCATGGACCATGGAGAGTCCTACACCTGGGGAGGAATAACTGCATGCATTGGTACAGGTGAGGGGTTGAGCTGCTTAAAGGAGCTCTGTGGATAAGGACCCAAGCATCCTGGTGGTCGATGTACTGGACCTGGGTAAGCCAAAGCAGAAGAAGAGTCACTGGGGCTGATGATACCATGGGTTTTTTACATGGTTTTGTGCCCATTGTGTGCTGCATTTCCTTTGTCTATCTCTTAAGAGAGAAAGGAGAACTGGGCAGGATGACGTGCCTTCAAGCCTTGCAACCCCCCTACCCTCTCTCTACTGTCATCTTATAATATTCACCCAGGGGACTGACCCCAAATGCCCACAGTGTTCCCAGAACACACTTGCTCATCACCATGGATAAAGCTGAAAGTGGAAGATTCAGTTCCCCTTCAGAAACTCAGCTTAGTGTTACGCAAACACCAGCAGCAAGCCAGGGAGCAAGTGGAATGCGTCTTCCTGCAGCTGCCTCCATGGAGTTTTGCTGAATGTCCTCTCCATTTGCTGATGGTGGACTTGAGCTCAGTTTTTACAGAACCCGTCTCCTGCATTCCATTAGGCTGGGAGCAGCTTTTCCAAAAGTCTTCTACTGCTGGCTGGGCAACCCATGGGGCAGAGGCTGCTTGCATGTACTTTGCTGGAAACTGGAGGGATCCTCTTTATCCTCACAGGGATGTGTGGTGAGTGCCTTATGTTCCCACATTTTGGGAAAGACATGCTGGAATGATGTCCTCCTCTTCATTTCTCTGCAGCTTAATTACTATTGCTCCAAGTTCGTAAGATGCATGCTCAGAGCAACCTGTGTGGGTTTCTTGGGAACAGTAGGGTGCAGAACTTCCAAATGCAGCTGTAGAAGAGTTGAGTTTTTCTCAGAAGTGCTGGTACCATCTAGAAGGTGAATGTTGCAAAAGGTACAGCAATAAATAAAATTACAAATTAAGAATGAGCAAACAGCTTACAGGGATTGAAGAGGGGTTCAACCCAGTTGTCCAAAACATAGATTTATGGTCAAAAGAATCTAGAGTGAATTACTAAGGGTGGATCGAGGTAGTGAAGCGAAAAGTGTAGAAATCAAGTCTGCTGCCATTTTGATAGACTCAGCTACGTGTTGTAGAGCATGAATGGCTGAAAAAAGAGGAGGAATGGGAGTTACCTGCTCTGTAATGGGTATTGTTATTGGGTTGATGTGCTTGGACCAGGCTGATCTGAGGTAGCAGAGTAGGTGTTTGCAGAAAACAAAGGAGCCCATGTGTTCCTTGTGCTGTGGTCAATGCTGTTCATCCAACAAAGCTAGGTGTGATTGATGAGTGCAGCATGTGAGTACACAGTGTTGCTCAAAATTGCTCCGACAAAGAGCCTGCAAATCATCCATTTAATTGCTACATTATGTTTAGGCATGTAAGTTCATCCCTGAAGCACATGCCCTTAAAGAGCAATTGGCAAGATGTCATAATGTATTTTGACAATTCCTGTTTTGAGGAACTATATTCTGTCTGTTTGTAGGTAGAAAATCTGGGCTTTGCTCAAGGGCCAGCTGGCATGTGTTCTTGTTGAAATTATTATAATAAAATTATAATTGTTTGTGTCTTCCTCTTGCTTATTCCTGTAGGATAGGGACGACAGGTAGACATGTAAAGACTCCTTTCCATCAGCTCCTCAGTTTCTTTTTCTCTATGATTTCTCACTAACTTCTCCTTCCCTTTTTTCTCTTTGTCAGTGTCCGGTCCTGCCCAAATCAGGCTGGTGAATGGCCCTGACCCCTGCACGGGGCGGCTGGAGGTGTTCTACAACAGCACCTGGGGGACGGTGTGTGATGACCACTGGAACCTTGCAGGAGCCCATGTGGTCTGCCGGCAGCTGGGCTGTGGGATGGGGCTGTCTGCCATTGGTGGGGCTCGGTATGGCCGAGGAAAAGATCCCATCTGGTTGGACAATGTGCTGTGCACTGGGATGGAAGCTGCTCTTTCTGAGTGCCGGGCACGGCCCTGGGGAACCCACAACTGTGGGCATGGAGAGGATGTCAGTGTTGTGTGCTCAGGTGAGGCTTGCTTGGATCAGATGTCCTCCAGAGGTCCCTTCCAACCCACAGCATTCATTGATTTTGTCTTGCACCAACTGCTGGGGACAGCCAAAGGCTTAAATGGTGGGCAGAACTGTCCCTCCATAGCGGCTGAGCTTTGGGAATGCACAGAGCATGGGGATGGGAAAAGGTCCTGCTAATGTTGTAGAACCACAGAGTAACAGAATCAGAATCACAGAATCAAAAGATCACAGAAGTCATAGAATCATAGAATCAAATAATGGCTTGTGTTGGCCTTAAAGAACATCTATTTCCAAACCTCTTGTTGACTTTCACTAGATCAGGCTGCCCAGGGCCCCAACTATCTCTTTGACACTTCCAGGGATGGCACATCCACAATCTCTCTGGTCAGACACCACCCTCATAGTAAAGAATTTCTTCCTTATATCTATCTCTATTCACCTCTTTGAATATCCATGTCCACAGTCATTGTCTCCTTTTGAACCAAGTGCAGGACATTGCAAGGTCTAGACAATGTGGCTAAGGGCATTGGAGACGTGAGTCATGCCATCCTACAGTAGCCTCTGCTGGAGCATACAGTTCTCCCTTAGCACCTCCTTTAGGATGAGATAAACCATTTGTCACCCAAAGATGTTTCAGATGAATGCCCAGCAAATTTCCTGATCAGTTACTTCTAGGCATTGTATAGAATTGCATGCTCAGCAAAGATTCTGATCATTTATTCCTAAACGTTGATGGGGATGCATGCCCACAAAGTTTCAGTCATTTGTTCCTAATTATTATATATGAATGCATGCTCAGCGTATTTTCTACCATTTGCTCTTAAGCACTGTAGGTGACTGCATGCCCAGAAAAGTTTGTGACCGTTTGATCCTAAACACTGTAGGTATCTGCATGCCCAGAAAGACTCTGATTCTTTGCCTTCTGGGGTTTTTCAGGGGCACCCACTCCAGGTGAGATCCAGGTCAGGCTGATAAACGGCTCAAGCTCTTGCTCTGGCAGAGTGGAAATCTTCCACAATGGCAGCTGGGGCACCGTGTGTGATGATGGCTGGAACATGATGGCTGCTGAAGTGGTGTGCAGAGAAGTAGGCTGTGGCTCAGCTCTGTCAGCCCCCATTGAGGCTACTTTTGGGCAAGGGGCAGGACAAATCTGGATGGATGATGTGACCTGTGTTGGGACGGAGGCTTCCCTTTCTCTGTGCTGGGTCAGTTCCTGGGGAAGCCACAATTGTGGCCACAGAGAGGATGCTGGTGTTGAATGCTCAGGTAAGTCTAACTTTTTCCCTATCAGGGCTGGCATCTGCACTTTAAAAAAAAAATATTATTTATTTTTATTTTTTATTTTTTATTTTTTATTTTCTATTTTCTATTTTTGGTTAAGGAATGGGTGGAGATGAGCAGAAGAGCTTTAAAATGGTCCTAGGTGTAGATATCGACAGCCCTGAAAATGGAGGTGGAAGGAACTCCTTGATGGGCTGTGTGATAGGGAAAGGAAAGGAAAAAGGAGCTTCAGAGGGGACATTCATCCAGGTGTTACACTGGGTGATGAGTTCTGGGAGATGAGTAACCATGGGGAGCCTGCTCATTTCAGTTCACATCTGCAGCATTTCAACCTTCAGCTGTGGGATTCACTAAAGCACTGGACTCCTTGGTCCCAGGGCAGTTGTGGTCCCTTCCTGGGCCATCTGGATTTTTGGCACTTATGTCTTTCCAGAACCAACGCAAGTACGTCTGGTGAACGGCTCCAGCCGCTGCTCTGGGAGAATTGAGGTACACCACAACCAACGCTGGGGGACAGTGTGCGATGATGGCTGGGACTTGGCTGATGCAGAGGTGGTGTGCAGGCAGCTGGGCTGTGGGACAGCAGTGTCAGCTCCTGGCAAAGCTCGGTTTGGGCAGGGACATGGTCCTGTGTGGCTGGATGAGGTGAACTGCATGGGGACAGAAGGGGCCATCACTGAGTGTAGCTTGAAGCGCTGGGGAGACCATAACTGCAAACATGATGAAGATGCTAGTGTTGTGTGTTCAGGTATGTGCCCGGCTCATGGATTCACAGAGAAGTTTTTCTGCAGGTACTCTAGCATCTAATTTTAGTTTACTTCCCTTCCCTCCATACACAGTTTTCCTTTGTCTACTGTTACTGCAAGCAATAATGCTTGAGAGATAACTCTGTTCTTGTAGGCGTTCTATCAACAGATTACATGGGCATGAATTTGTGCTAATCCTCTTTCTGACACCTAAACATAGCAGTTCACAAGTGGCTCACTACATCCATCATGCAAGGCTGCTCTGAATGTTTCAATTTGTGCACTCAGAGGATTCATTTGACCAACAGTGTTGGGTCTATTCCATTTTTATGTCCCAAGTTTCTTCTGGATCTCTAGAGGTGATCCAAAATTGAAAGACATTTCCCCTTTCCTCTAGCTTACAATGGGATGCCATCCTTGTGAACAAGAAGAGAAAATCTGGGTGCCTTCAGGCAGCATTTGCAAGGAGCTTTAGTAGATGAGACCAAATAGCATGAAAGGACACAGTGATGCCATGTTCCCACAAAAACTTCTTTTTGCTTGAGTAAACAAATGCTATTTAAAAAATATCTTTCCTCATTAGATGTGCTTTCAGAGAGAGATGTGGTCACATTAGCAGCACTTTGGAACTTGTTCTGGAGTTTATGATTTGAACATGGATGTTCAGGAGTCTTCCAGGTGTTGCCCATAGGAAACATTCCAAGGCATCCTGTTGTTAACTTCTCAATGTGATCAGTTTCTCCCAAGTGAAGATACTGTGATTCAGATGGGGAAACATAGTTGTCAAAAATCATGTCTGAGTGCTGACAGGACAACACCTAACCAAAGTCCCTCCTCTTATTTTTAAACCATTCCCCCTTGTCCTATCACTATCTGCCCACATAAAAAGTCAGTCTTCTTGTTTTGTAAGCTCCCTTTAAATAGTGAAAGGCTGCAGGGCTCTCTAGAGCCTTCTCATCTCCGGGCTGAATAAGACTAACTCCCTCAGCCTTTCTCCACAGGAGAGGTGTTCCACCACTTGTACATTGTATGGTTGCACCTAGTTGCAAGCCTCAGAAAAACATCTACTTCAGAAGACTGAATGTCCGTGTTAACTCATTTTTCTTACCCCACCTTTAGATCCCACAGAGTTACGGCTGGTGAATGGCCCAAACCGCTGTGCTGGGCGAGTCGAGGTGCTTCATGAAGAGCAGTGGGGAACTGTTTGTGACAACGACTGGGGTATGGAGCATGCAAAAGTGGTGTGCCAGCAGCTGGGCTGTGGCACTCCAATATATGCTCCAGGCTGGGCTCGGTTTGGTAGAGGCTATGACCCCATCTGGCTGGAGAAAGTGACCTGCTCAGGGATGGAGTCTGCCCTTAGTGAGTGCAGAGTCCAGTCATGGGGACAACACAGCTGCCACCATGGGGAAGATGCCAGTGTGGTGTGCACAGGTAAGGCTATGCCACATTCTTTTTTTCTGTGTATATGGAGAGCCACGTTGCCACTGAGAGTAAGGGCGTTCAGAATGCAAAGGGGTGATGATACCATTCCTCCTGCCAAGAAATGATGTAAGGAGGACATTATCTCTGCTACTTCTCCCATTTTTCCTGGCTCATTTTTAAACTCAAACGAACAGACACATGGCCCAAATAAAAAGTCAGTCTCCTTCCTCTTTATAAGCTCCTTTTAAATACTGGAAGGCTGCAAAGTGGTGTCTCTGGAGTCTTCTAATCTCAAGGCTGAGCACCCCAGCTCCCTCAGTCTTTCATCATAGGAGAGAAGCTCCAGTCCTATAAGTGTTTTCACATCCTTCTCTGGACCAGCTCCAACAACTCCACATCATCTCCAGCAGCTCTTCTAGAATTTTCCTTTCCTTTCCTTTCCTTTCCTTTCCTTTCCTTTCCTTTCCTTTCCTTTCCTTTCCTTTCCTT